GTGACCTTGAGCAAGTTGCTCAACATTTCTGAACCTGTCTCCTCCATTTGGAAGAGAAGCGCATGAGAAGCCATGGAGAGCCTCACGTGTCTCAGGCTCTCTGCAGGGTGGTCCCATTTGATTCTCACAGCTACCTGGGAACTGGTGGTAGTATCATGCCCATCTTACAGATGACAAAACTGAGACTCAGGTTGTACTTGAGAGCTGTGTGGGACCACTCAGCTGCTATGTCATGGTTGCCTGGCTTTAAAACTAGAGGCTGCAGTGTAGGGATGGGACTTCACACTCCACTGGCCACATGGGTGACACTAGGACACTAGCAGCAGGGAAGACACCAGACTTGGTTGAAAATGGTTTGTGGACTCTACATCACAGTGAGCATGTAGACTGCTCTTCTGACAGGGCTCCTAGACCTGGGGAAGCTTTCCAACAAGTAGAGGAAAAGGGAGCGAGCTGGACACAGAGAAATGGGAGCCACTCAAAACCAACTCAGATGCTGCGGAGGGCCCTGTGGAGACCCTGAAGCCGGTCCCACCTAGCACTTTGATTTGAACACAGGCTCTGGAGGAAGAAGAAACAGGAGAGGATTGAAAAGAGATTGGGAAGATGGGCTTACATGCCCCAGTACATCAGGGTTTCCCAAGTGTGACTCCCATTTCACAGCCGTTCCCTAGCCGGATTGCACAGGAATCCGTGCTGCCTCTTCAAATCTGGTAGGGAGGTATTTACTTAACGGGCATGAGGACAATATGACTAGCACAGCCAACCTGGGATTTCACGCTTATTAACACCTAGGATGAGGCTGAAGTAAGTGGGATGCTGGGTAATTCCCGGGACTCAGGTTACATAAGTGCCAGGTGCCAGGCTCAGGGTGAGGGAAGTGACCTAAGTTTGGAAGCCACAACACTAAATCAGCCCCCTCAAAAGCCACAGGCCCCAGAGGTGACTGATAACTTCACCCCAGGGTGGCTAGATTTTCAGTAATAAAAATACAGGATGATCATTTAAATTCGAGTGCAGATAAACAATGAATAAAATGTTTTCAGTATATATATGCCCTATGCAATACTTGGGACATACATATATTTTTAAAGCATTTGTTTATCTGAAATTCAAGTTTAACTGGGCATGCTATATTTTATCCAGCAATCTTCCCCCAGCCTCATAGAAGGCCAGGTCGATGCTCATGGAATTGAGTTGTCCCCTCCCCTCACTGCCCTCCTGGCCTGGACCCATAGGAAGAGGCTTACATACAGAAGGATGCCCTTACATAGCTGGTCTCTTGGATGCCAGTTCCTTTAATTAAACTGCAGGGATGAAATAAAGTATGTTAAAGGAAAGATTAAAATTGATTCCCTTAGCACAATGAAAGCGAAAGCTATTGACCGGGATACTTAAGGAAACAAAGCACTTCCGCGATGAAGAGTGCAGCCAGCTCCAGCTCAGAGCAGCAGGTGGAAGTGGAGAAGATTCCTGCCCGGCAGAGATGAGAGGTGGAGCTGCCTCATGGGGAGGTGGTTTAGCAAGTTGGGTGCCAGCGAGCCCAGCAGGAACGAGTTTCTCCTCACTCTCAGTGAGGCCTGAGTACCTGGGAGAGCTGCACAGCTCTGCCTCTTAGCATCAGAGAAAGCCAGCTGGGAGAGAGAGGGGAGGAGGGAGCTGCAGAGGTGAGATGGGGATGGGGAGTATCCACACCTGCATGCATAAGCACTGACTGAGTGCTTGCTGGGTACCAAGCCCTGAGCCAGGTGTTGGGTCTTGTCTCAAGCTCTTTGTGGGGAGACCAACCGGGGTTGCCTAAGTTCTCAAGGGCCCTGGCTTCTCAACCAGGGAGCTTAGAGACATAGAAAGGGAGAAAGAATTGCAGATATTGCTGGGGACATTGTGAAAGCATGTGGCATTGAGATGCTGCTGACTATAGATATTTGGAGAAGGACAATCCTGGGCTAGGACTCCCTTTTTACTCCCAATGAAAGTGAGGCACAAAAGCTATTGTGGGTTTTGTGGGGCCTTGTGGTAGAGTTAGGATTTGAACCCAGGTCTGATTGTCTTTGAAACCCTTAATCATAGTGCTTTGCTTTGCTTCCTCCTAGATTGTGAGGGGTCATGGGAGGTGTTTAAGCAGGGAGAGATGTCATCAAAACAAAAAGTTGGTGAAATTAATCTGACACTGGTGGGGTGCGGTGGCTCACGCCTGTAATCCCAGCACTTTGGGAGGCCAAACCAGGTGGATCACCTGAGCTCAGGAGTTTGAGACCAGTCTGGGCAACATGGCAAAACCCCGTCTCTGCTAAAATACAAAAAGTTAGCTGGACGTGGTGGTGTGCGCCTGTAGTCCCAGCTACTCAGGAAGCTGAGGCAGGAGAATTGCTTGAACCCAGGAGATGGAGGTTGCAGTGAGCCGAGATTGCGCCACTGCACTCCAGCCTGGCAACAGAGGGAGACTCAGTCTCCAAGAAAAAAAAAAAAGGAAATTAATCTGGTACTATGTCTGTGGCCAGTTTAGATGTAAATGCACAGTGAGGAGGATGCCAGCTCGGGAACGTGGGAGGGAGCAGGTAGGAACCCAGGTCAGGGGGCTGATGGGGGTAGAGGACGGGTTTTGCTGAAGGATCTGCTCAGGGGGGTAAAGGCGGAGTTGATGATGGGATGAAGTTTTCAGATCTGGCTGCTACAGGCAGGGAAAGGATGACAGCGCAGTAGCTTTGGACACGCTGGATTTGAAGCGATATCACATGGTCCCCAAACAGCGCTCCGGGCAGCAGCCCAGTAGTAGAAAGCAGAGGGGCCTTGGGACTGGCCTGAGCTGGGTGTGCAAATCAGCACTCCTTTTCAGTAGCACTGTGACCACAAACTATGTGCTTAACCTTTCTGAGCTTCGGTTTCCTCTCTAGTGAAATGGAGAGCCATGATACCTACTGTATAGGATGTTGGCGATAAGGAGAAAACACATAAAGAGACAAAGAAGGCTGGTGTAATGTACATCTCTGAGCTGCAGCAGAGATGGTCCTAGAGTTGGAACGGATGGAAATGCGTGTCTTTCTATTAATCTGATTTTTTTTTTTTTAAGACAGAGTCTTGCTCTGTCACCCAGCCAGGCTGAAGTGCAGTGGCACAATGTCGGCTCACTGCAGTCTCAGCCTCCGAGGTTCAAGCGATCCTCCCGCCTCAGCCTCTGGAGCAGCTGGGACTACAGGCGCACCACCTCGCTGGGCTAATTATTGTACTTTTAGTAGAGACGGCGTTTTGCCATATTGGCCAGGCTGGTCTCGAACTCCTGACTTCAAGTGATCTGCCCACCTCAGCCTCCCAAAGTGCTGGAATTACAGGCATGAGCCGCAATGCCCGGCCTCATCTGATGATCTTTTTAATTGAATTCCTACTGTGTGCTGGGCCCTGGGGAGACAGTGTGGAGAGGCTGAGGGGAAATTCAGTCATCACACAAAGCTGAGCTCACCCTTGATCGTGAGCTAAATGGAACAGGAGCAGGTTATCCTGCTCAGTGCAAGCATCCCAGCGCACAGTAGGCATTGCAGTAAATGGTAGTGAATGCTTGAAATGCAGCACAGACCCCACTCTGTTAGGGTCATGGAGGCAGAGGCAGCAAGCCTCCCCTGAGCATGTCAAAGTCGGTGCAGAGGGGAGAGGTCAAGTCTGTCTTTGTAACCACTTTCTATACTGGAAACTCCCAACTGGGGTGAGGCATTCAAGAAAAGGCAGGGAACTGGGGAGCAGGGTTTTGATTCTCAGCTTTGTCATCCCGTCTTCTTTTCTCCTAAGCTCGCATTTGTCTTACCTTTTCCAAATCTTTGAAAAATGCTGGGTAAACCTAGGGGAGTTGATTATGTGCTCTCAGCAGGCCAGGAAACTGGGGAGAAGGAAAAACAGCCAAGAATAACCAGCATTATGAGGCTGCCCTTCAAGGCCTCAGTAGCACATGACCCTGGGCAGCCCTTTCCCATCCTTGGACGTCAGTTGACCCATTTGTGAAAGGAACCCCGAGTTTAAAGGTGCGGTCCCATCATACCCTGCAGCATCTTCCCTTTCAGCCCCTTCTATTTTTGTGACATATTTGTTTTTATTGGAAGGTTAGTTTTATTTTTGCCTCTATTTTTAAATTCCTTCATTAAAAGTAATTTTTTTAAGAGAGAGGATCTTGCTCAGTTGTCCAGGCTGGAGTATAGTGGTGCAATCGGAGTTCACAGCAGCCTCGAACTCCTGGACTCAAGCGATCCTCCTGCCTCAGACTCCCGAGTAGCTAAGGACTACAGGCACACACCACTGTGCCTCGCTATTATTATTAGTTTTAATAATAAAAATAGTCTCACTATTGCCCAGGCTGGTCTGCAACTACTGGGCTTAAGCAGTCCTCCCACCTCATTCTTCCAAAGCTCTGGGATTACAGGCATGAGCCACTGTACCTGCCAGAAATATTTTTTTTAATTACAAAGTAAAGCTGCTCCTTGTAAGAATCTAAGCCATATGTACTGCTTTAACAGAAAGCTAGTTTTCTCATTTATTGCTATTTTTTTTAGTAGATTTAAGTGTTGTTTACATTTTAAGGTAATGTAAGAATGCGTGGTTGAGGTAAAAACCTCAACAATGTAAAAATGTAGGAGGAAAATTACGGATGTCCGCCTTCATGGCTTGCCTCATCCTACCCCAGCTTCACCCCCACCTTGGCCCTGAGATGACTGTTGTTTCTAGTAAGGGGACCCTTGGGAATGTCATCGTAGACCCACCCACCCCTCAAAGCCATTGCTGAGTCATGGGGATGTGCCCCCTTTTAATGACAAGAGCATGGACTCTGGGTCAGGATCAGAAGGCCAGCACTGCTGTTGACTCGCTGTGTGACCCTCAGGCATCCACACATCCTCTCTGATCCTGGATGACCTCCTTGGCAGGCTGGCCCAGAGGAGAACTGGGATCTGGGCTGTGAAGTCCCTAGCGTGAATCCTGCAAACAGCCCAGGTGACTGTGTTGTGTGGTGGTCTTGGCAGGTTGGGGACCAGATTCTGGAAGTGAATGGGCGGAGCTTTCTCAACATCCTACACGACGAGGCGGTCAGGCTGCTTAAGTCATCTCGGCACCTCATCCTGACAGTGAAGGACGTCGGGAGGCTGCCCCACGCCCGCACCACTGTGGACGAGACCAAGTGGATCGCCAGTTCCCGGATCGGGGAGACCATGGCAAACTCGGCAGGGTCTGGCCACTCTGCTCGCTCCGATCTCCAGACCCCAGGGCCATTTCTGAAAGCCAGTGATAGCCACTTCCCATCCCTCCACCGCCCTGGCTCTCCTCTCAGCCTGCAGTCCCCACACCAGGGCCCTCCACTGGCAGGACATGACCTGGGCACATCCCTCTCCTCTCTTGGCCTCAGTTTCCCCACGGAAAGCTGAAATACACATCCAATTGTCTCATTCTTTATTTGTCCCCAGGCAAATTACTTAACTCATTCTTCAGACCTTAATTGCTTCATCTAAAAAGTGGGGACCATAACCCTGCCCTCATCCCATATCTATCTGTGCAGGTGAAAGAGAGGGAGGGAGAGGGAAAGAGAGAGATGCTTTGGGGTGTATTTGGCCAGAGGCCACCAGGCTGGATCCTATGAACAAATCTGGGTGAGAGGGTCTTAAAGTCATAAACGAAGATCCAGTTGCCAGGTGTCTGCATAGTTGCCAGCAATGTAATGTGCCACCTTTTGATCTTCATCAGAAATCTTAGCCCGGTGGCCCCCTGGCCAAATACACCACAGATCATCTCTCTCTCTCTCTCTCTCTCTCTCTCTCTCTGTGTGTGTGTGTGTGTGGGTGTGTGTGTGTATGTGTATCTCTGTGTGTGTGTGTCTCCCCCTTCCCTTCCTTTCACCTGATTAGTATTAAACATTTTTAAAGTTACCTGCCAACATTTATAAAGACACCAGGTTTTCTATTTTTAAAAACTGGATTTCTGGATGCTTCTTAAAATCAGGAAGTCTGGCAGCCTGAGCCCACATGGGCTGGAGCTGAGCCGCACCTGTGAGTTGCATCTGGGATCTCCAGTTCACTGGCCCCTAAGCTCCTGAGGGTTGGCCTGACCCTGAGGTTGCCAGTCAATCACTATTTCTTCCCTCCACTCCTTGTGTTACCTGCCTAGTCCTGCGGGGTTGGCAACGACTCAAGAGCCCACCCTGGGTGGTTTTGGAGGTGCCGTCCACACTGCTGATTGGGAGACTGGAAGCTGCCAGTCTGTCCGGAGTTTCATTTACCCCTGAGTAGCGCCCAGACTGAACTGGCAGCGGGTGGTGGCCATGATGTATGGTTCTCTCGAAGCTTTGCTCTTCCTGCCCCGAGTCACCCTGTCCCTTGCCCATGCCCATTTGATCTGCTCAGATGCACAACTGGAGACGTGTGTCTTTCCCCACAGGTTTCTTGGCGATCTCACAACAGAAGGAATAAACAAGGTAGGGCATCCTCTAAGGGGTATCCTCTGCTTCCTCACAGCTCCCTGAGTGAGGAGGTCTGGCCAGCCAGAGGGTACCGAATGGCTTACACTTCCTCATTCTGACTGGGCAGCCCCTTATCTGCCCACCCCCCATCCCACTTATCTATGACTGACTGCTAGGTTCTGGGCACCACCCTGGCACCAGGGTTGATGGCAGTGAACAGAGCAGACCAGGTCCCTGCCCTCATGCAGGTTATACTCAGCGAAGGAGGTGTAAAGACAAAACAAATTCTAATTAAGAAAGATAGTACTATCAAGGCAAGGTACTGGGGGTTATGAGCGAGAGTAACAAATGAGACACCACACTTAGATGGGATGGAAGGGCAGAGGGGGAGTGGCATGGCCACTCAGCTCTACAGCAGCTCAGAATTCCTGGGCTTCTGTCTTTCTGTTTTGCAGCCAGGATTTTACAAGGGCCCAGCCGGCTCCCAGGTGACCCTGAGCAGCCTGGGGAACCAGACACGCGTGCTGCTGGAGGAGCAGGCTCGGCACCTGCTGAACGAGCAGGAGCGCGCCACCATGGCCTACTACCTGGATGAGTACCGTGGCGGCAGCGTCTCCGTGGAGGCCCTCGTCATGGCCCTGTTCGAGCTGCTCAACACCCATGCCAAGGTGACCCGCACTGTGCCTCCCAACTGGCTTCAGCGTTTCTGGGGCTCTGCATCCTGCCCTGCCCCCGCTCCTTTGCTGAGAACCTACAAGGGGTCAGGCCTGGGCAGAGACCTGGGACTGAGGCAGACTCCCACCCCTGGGAAGCTCACAGACTCCTGGGGGAAACAGACATTTAAAGCACCCTGTGATTGGGGCCCTGTCGCAGTGGCTTCCAACGCTGAGTGCATAGAATCACCTGGATTGCTCTTAAAAGCGATGCTCGGGCCCCATCCTAGGCTGGTTAACACCTCATATCTGGGGATGGGAGCCAGCCGTCAGTCATCTTCACAAGCCCTCCAGGTGACTGTGCTGTGCCACCAGCTTTGAGAACGCTGCTCCAAGCTGTTTGAGGTCCAGAAACCGTACAAAGGAAGAGGTGGTGAAATCCACTGGGAGGGGTTATGTTTCGGAAGACTTAACAGAGGAAATAGGATTTGGAGACGAGTATTGGAAAGGGTATTCTGGGTGGAAGGGACGGACAGCCAGAGGCTTCGTGGCTTGAAATGTTATAGTGTGTCCAGGGAGTCACAGCCACGTGTGCTTGCCGAGAAGGTGACAGGGAAGCAGGAGTCAGATGATGTTAGGCCCGGTGTCCAGGTGACAGTGTTTGGCCTTTCTCTTGAGAGCACTGGGGAGCCGGACAGTTAAGGAGGGGAGGCAGGGTCACGTTTGCATGCCAGTCCTTTGGGGGTAGCAGGACCCCTGTTCCGCCTTCTGGTAGCGCTCCCTGCTGAGTGCCCCTTTTGTCCCTGCCTCCAGTTCTCACTCCTCTCTGAGGTGAGAGGCACCATTTCCCCGCAAGACCTAGAACGCTTCGACCACCTGGTGCTGAGGCGTGAGATTGAGTCCATGAAGGCGCGGCAGCCCCCAGGCCCTGGGGCTGGGGACACCTACTCCATGGTCTCCTACAGTGACACGGGTTCATCCACAGGCAGCCACGGCACCTCCACCACCGTCAGCTCGGCCAGGGTGAGCTTCCCCTGCCTTGATCCTGGCTTAGTAGCCAGGGCAGAGTTAAGATGCTGGCTTTGGAGTGAGACCAGCTCGAGTTCAAATCCCAGCACCACCACTTACCAGCTGTGTGCCTTGCCTCTCTGAGCCTCAGTTTCTTCATCTGTAAAAACCTAATAGTTGTTGAATGTCTACTGCATGCCAGGCATGGGCTCTCGGGGACAACAGGTGAACAGGAGAGATGTGGCCCTGCCTCCTGGGGCTGGCAGTCTGGGAAGCTGGGGAAGAAAGGTGAAAAAAAAAAGTAGGTAATTAGGCAAATAGAAAAAGATCATTATAATCCTTGGGAATGCCTCTGGCATGGTGCCCACTCCCGCTGGGCACTCAGTAGATGGTAGTGGGCGTGGTAACTTGGACTGTGATTTTTATTTTCCTCAAGAGGCCACCCTTTTGTCTCTGGAGCCCAAGCCCAGCTTTACTTTTTTTTTTTTTTTTCTGAGATGGCGTCTTGCTCTGTCACATAGGCTGGAGTGCAGGGGCGCAATCTCAGCTCACTGCAACCTCCACCTCCCAAGGTCAAGCAATTCTCCTGCTTCAGCCTCTTGAGTAGCTGGGATTACAGGTGCCTACCACCACGACCAGCTAATTTTTGTATTTTTTGGTAGAGACGGGGTTTTGCCATGTTGGCCAGGCTGGTCTCGAACTGCTGACAACAGGAGATCCGCCCACCTCGGCCTCCGAAAGTGCTGGGATTACAGGTGTGAGCCACTGTGCCTGGCCCCAGTGTGACTTTCTTGTAGACTCACCAGCCCCCTAGCAAAGCATCTGGCCATCTCAGGGTATGGTTCTGCCCCCCTGGATACCTGGAGGCAAATGAATCCCAGGAGGCCTTTGCAAGGAAGGGGCAGGAGGATATGCCTTGTTACCTGTCTTGGGAAACAACTGGTTATGAGGTCCATGCAGTGGAAGAGTCGGGGCTGGAGGTCAGGAGAGCTGGCTTGACCCCATACTCTCCTCTGTGCTCTTGTTTCTCACCTTGAGGTCATTCATCACCACTCTTCTATGGAAAGGGAGTGGGGAGAGTAATGTTTCTTAAGCAGGCAGTTGCTCCCAGATGCTGAACTGAGAGCTCTTTCTGGAGGAATCTCAGACTGGAGGCAGATACAGTGTTAGCTGTCTTGTTAAATGGGAGAGTAGAAGCTCAGAAGCGTGCAGTGGTGGCCATGGTTTCAGACACAGGTGGTTAATGAGTGAGGATGAGCTTGCAGCCACCAGGAAATGGCCCGGGAGCATGCACCCCTCTCTTTTGCAAACTCGAACTCCTAGTGTGACTTTTCTTTAGCCCTGGGGTTCTAGGTTTCTGAAGGTGATTCTTTTATACTCTTTTACCTCTATCCTTCCCATCCTGAGTTGCCATCATTTCCAAGGGTGCTCGTTTCCTTCCTGGGATATCCCCACAAGTTGCCCTGCATTCCTCTGGGGCTGGACATGGCTGCAGCAGCGGCAGTTTCATGTTCTGGGACAAGCAGATCACTTCTGGGGCAGGGTAGAGGCTGTCCTTCACCCCAGGCTCTGAGCACATACTTTGATATGGCATTTGGGTGAGGATCTGGTTTAAGGATGCAGGTCCTTAGCCTGATGACTGTTTCTGTCTAAGATGGGCTCCACTGAGATTGGCCTTGATAATGTTCAGGCCTCAGCAGCCATGAGCCACTGCTCTGAAACCTGGGAAACTGCAGACTGTGCTTCTGCAATGGTCCGTTTAGAATCAGAGATGAAATATCCAATGAGTGGGGTGGGATGTGTTTCGGTCTGGGAGGCAAGAGGTCTAGGTTTGAGCCCCAGCCTCTCTGGTCTTCAGTTTCTGCACGGATAAAATGGCCTGGGGTCCTTGCCGGTTCTGACTACAGCAGCCCGAAGCCCTGAGGGCAAATCAGGCTGGAGTGCCAGGAGTCGGGTGACTATCTTGCCTGGCAAGGGCTCTAGGCAGGGGTCAGGAGCCCCCAGCTCGGCACTGGCCCACAGTGACCTTGTCCCAGCTCTGGGAGCTCTCCCCTACCTGAGAAGCACCATCTGGGGCCAGTCCAGATCCCAGCTGTGCTCTGCCAGGAGGGCTCTCACTGCAAGTTGGGGCGCCCTGGGGAAGGCAGACCTCAGAAAGGCCATAGGATGGTTTTATACAGAGAGTTTTTCGGGACAGATGAAAAGGGTGGTCCTGAAGGTTTTCCCCAAGTTTCTGAGGTGGGAACGACTCAGAATTTGTGACTGTGAAAGTCCGTGGCCCACCACGTGGCACATGCATGTCAGGATCAGGACTCACCTAGACCAGGATGAGCTCCTGGAGGTGATTCAAAGAGAAAACTGTGCAAGCAGGAAAAGCAGCGTGGAAAGGGCACGAGCTCGCAGTGCCTTGGTTTCCTCTTTTGCAGAGGGGCAGTGATACTACTTCCCCCAGCTTGTTGAGAGGATTAAATGAGAGGATGCCCATGGGTCCAGGGTGAGCAACCTGCTAGCACCAGCATCCCAGAAGTGCTGGGCACACCCCGAGGGCAGGTGCAGCCTCGGTTCTTTCGGACCCAGCCCCACCTGGCTGGGGAAGACTACCTGGAGATGGTACCCAGGGCCTTGGGGACCCGTGGAGGCTCTGGAAGGTGCGAGGCTGAGGGACTGCCACTGCCCCTCTGACCTTCATCCTACCCAGGTACCCTCCACATGCGCAGCCCAGAGCTGCCTTCCACAGATTCATCTTCTCTGACGTCACAGGGCTTGGGCCTCCCTGAAGTCCAGGCCTTCTCCAACAGAGGCTTCCAAACAGGGCCCTCCTTGAAGCTCCGCCTTTCATTAGCAGGTGTGACCTCACACAGTTCACTTCCCTTCTCTGAGCTTGTCTTTCTGTCTGGGAATAGGGATCCCAGCCCCGTCCCAAAGTAAATGACTGTCTCCTGAAGGCCCTTTAGCAGGGACAAATGTCATTTCTTCAGAACAGTGGCGTCTCCCCTGTTTCCTTCAAGGAGGCAGGCAGAATGAAGGGGTGCCGGTCATGGCGGCGGGGTCTTTCCCTCCCCTCTCTCTTGTATTCCTCCCCAAAGCGTTCAAGGTAAATAGAAAAGGGGTTTGGAGAATGTGTGGATTTTGCATGTGTGTGTGCTCATGTGTGTTTGGGGAAGGGGTTGTTGTTGTTGCTGCACCCACCCATTCCCTAATATTTATTTGATGTATCTTTTCTTTTTGCCTTTTGCTCATCCTTTCTCCCCAGGAGCGGCTGCTGTGGCTTATAGACCTGATGGAGGTACCGTCCTTCCTGCCAGTGGGGACTGTGGGAGTCCCTTAGCCAGGGGCCGGGGTAGGAGGCTGTGGCCTTTTCTGCCACCCCCGTATGTCTGCACCCAGTCCTGGTGGGGACCAGGGATTCTTACTGGTGCTGACTGTATTTCCAGGTCACCAATTCATCAGGTTTCCTGGGCTCTGGAGTGAGAATCCCCTCCATTCAAATCCCAGCCCTGCCACTTTCTTGCTGTGAGACCTCAGGAAGTGGTTTCACCTCTCTGAGCTCAGTTTTAGGATCTGTAAAATGAGGATGGTAATTTCTGTGCCATGATGTTGAGAGACCCCCTTGGCCTTTGCATATGCCACATTCTTTCTGTCTGGAATGTTCTTCTCCCCACTTCATATGACCTGACTGTCTCCTATGTGTGCTTCAGCCCTCAGCTCAGAAGCTACCTCTTCCAAGAAGACTTCCCTGATCCTCCCAAGGGGAGCGACTTTCAGGCCAAGACTCCTCTTGCCCCGGGGCTTCCTTTGGTCACAGCTCTTGCCTCATTATGTCCTATTATAAAAGCCTGTACAGGGCCGGGCGCGGTGGCTCATGCCTGTAATCCCAGCCCTTTGGGAGGCTGAGGTGGGTGGATCACGAGGTCAGGAGATCAAGACTATCCTGGCTAACATGGTGAAACCCCGTCTCTACTAAAAATACAAAAAAAAGTTAGCCAGGCATGGTGGCGGGCGCCCGTAGTCCCAGCTACTTGGGAGGCTGAGGCAGGAGAATGGCGTGAAGCTGGGAGGCGGAGCTTGCAGTGAGCCGAGATCGCGCCACTACACTCCAGCCTGGGCAACTGAGCAAGACTCCGTCTCAGAAAAACAAACAAACAAACAAATAAAAACCTGTACGGGTTTCCCAGTTACCCACTGTGACTGCTGACTCTTAAGGGCAGCAACCGCATGTGCGGTTACCATTGAGTCCCTATCCCTAGTACTCACACAGACCCGAGCCCATAGTTTGGGCCTTTATAAATAACAATAGTAGCTGAGATTTTTGGGTGTTCTTTATGGTACTGTGGTAGTGCTTTCCATTCATATCTTCTTTGACTATCCCAGGAGCTAGGAGTTGTGAGTACTGCTGTGATCCCCATTTTACAAAGAAAACCAAAGCTCAGAGAGGAGAAGCAACTTGCCCAAGGTTGCACAGCTAGTGAGTGATGGAGCCTGAATTTGAACCCAGGCCTGCTCGACTCTGAGCTCTGTTGTTATCCCTGCCATCTGGCTGTGATTCTTCCCTGAAGGATCTCACCAACTCCCTGTTAAGCATCATCTCGTCATCTGTCTGCCTCTCTCCTCCCTTCCTCCTCCTTGTCCTTCCTTTCTGTTAACAAATATTGAGCACTTGCTGTGTGCTATGTACAGTTTGAGGTGCTGGGGTTACAGTGGTGAACACCAAAGAAATCCTTTCCACAATGGAGTTGAGCAGAGAGCCGGAATGCCAGGCAATACAAAGGATATAGATAACTGAAATACACAGTAAGCTAAATGATGACAAGTGCTAGAGAGAAAAATAAAGCAGGTAAGGGGGACTGGAGAGGGGTGGGGTGGTTAAGGAGTGACCCTTGAGTCAAGACGTGCAGGTGGTGAGGGAGAGAGCCATGCCCACATCTGGGAGAAGAGCATTTCCAACAGAAGCAGCTGCATGTGCAAAGGCCCTGAGGTAAGAGTATGCCTGGAGTGTCAGAGAATTGCAGGTGGCC